TTGACTAGATCGAAGTACTTCAGTAAAGAGCATTTGCTCGATTGCTCGTTCTCAAACGAATTCACTTTATCGACAATTCTAATCTGTTATCAATTATAATTAAAAAGCAATAGAGACGTCGAATATCTGAAGTTTTACGGCATTATTCTACGAGTTTTCAGCACGGCGTATCTTCTCACAAAAAATGGCTCGTTATTTTCACTTGATATGACGAAAAGAACTGAGCAGAATTTAGCACTCCGGTAAGGATCGTTTCCGCTATATTCGTTCGTCTCGTTTCCATCACCATTTTCTCTTTTACAAATCACGGAATTTTCCGATAAACCCAACCAACCTTCAGTTTGGAGTGTCTCAAATCCGAAACCGTTTCGTCAATGATGAGTGAATTTGCGTGGAATCGTGCTGCCTCACCAGCAATATACGTGCTCACATGGAATGGCATGCTTCGTGTTGACGTTATAACCATGAAATGCGCAGAGATCGCTTTCGATTGGACTAAATTTGGAGGTGAGTGCAACATCGAAACATTGCAATGATTTCTCCACCCAATGTATGAGTGATAACTCACCTCAATATATGGAACAACATGGCATATCACAGGCAATCACCTGAATGCGCATGTGCTTTTAATTACAGCCAGAATTTCTTCGAATTCACTTGTCTTCAGACCACTCAAAATATGATTTTTCAATGAATCTATTCATGATCGAAATCGCATACTGTGTCTTTTAATGCCTTTTAATTATAAGTGTGACTCTTTGAGCAGTAAAGGTGCTCGTTCTAGAAAATGGACTGAAGTCCGTATCTTCGTTTGCGATCGCAGATAAGCTGTTCGTTTTTGTAACCTCAGCGGAATTGATCGTTTATGAATTGAGCACGTCAACTGCGACACCAATTCCCGTTCCTGGATCACCGTTCAAGCAAGTACTTGCTGTTAGCCAATCATCACAGCCATATCCAGGTTTGTTCATCTGATCTGCTTCTGTTCGCTTTCATCTACATTGATTTTATCCGCAATCGTAGCAGATGATCATCCGATGTTCATATCTCTGTTCTCCTTTTCAATAAGAAAACTGGGTATAGAATGACTGTTCCTCGGAGAATACCTCACTTTTTTCAGATCGGTCATGCTTCGCACTTTCCGAACCACCTGATGTCAAGTTTACGGTTCAGAACGAAGGCAAGAGTGGCGCTGTCGTAATGATCAATGAACCACCTCTACCAAATTCATGTCCGGTATGAAATGATCACGCTCCTCTGAAATGATTGAATTCAATTATGTGTAATAGGCGGACGGAGAACGCTTAAATCAACTCGAACTATACAGAAGTAGCGAAAGTTGTTTGACTCGAGTTTCTACGGAACCTTCAGTTGTTTTGTGAAGTTTTTGCGTTGTGAATTTTCTAACACTCGCTCTTCAACATAGTCTGTTTGTTCAGGGCGTTTCTGTACCTGCAACACAATATGAGCTACACTTCAAAAGAAAGGATTCCGATAAAGTTAAGAATGTGCACAGCATCAATCATATCGTTCATGTGGAGAACGGTATTCTCGATAAAGAGACCGAGTGAGTATTGCTTCACTTTCACCTTCCTTTAATAGAAGGGCTGATGAAATAAATGCATGAGAACTAAGAGCTGTAAAAGTTCATTCACTGGAATATACTCAAATGCAATGCTCATGGGCTATTTTATGATGCAGTCATTCGAGAAAATCGCAGTGTATCATAAAATATTTTAAATGAAACCAGTAATGAATGGTTACATCCATTGAAACATTTGACCTTTTCCAATCATTTAAAATCACCTGATTCAATAATCTAATATTGCTAAGTGGTTACGATCACGTTTTAGATATTTTGCGAAATAATTCATTGAATTACAGTTACGAAGTGACAGTTTCGTGGTTCAATCGTTTCTCCTCACCTTCAACTCCAAGTGTATCGCAGACCCTTCGTACCGGATACGGTTTCCCGTCTTCTCCGCAGGAACCATCTGCATTCGCTCTCAGCCCTGATACTGTCTTACTGTACTGGCAGCTACCATCGAAGACGAATGCGCCCGTAGCTGAGATTAAATATCGAGTAAGATTGTTCAAGAACTCTATTAGGGAAGATTTTCCTCCAGCTAGGATAGTGAATGTGCATTCTAATGCTGAAAGTCAGCATCAGTAAATTACATTTCTGCATCGTATTATAGAAATATCTGTTAACCGATATCAGAAACATGAGTGCTTAATATTCCGGCTCGCATCTTAATGGCAATCGTAATTCCAGGTGAGTCAATTGAGTGGCTCATTGATAGCACCTGCAACGATTGGGGCACAGCAGTTCGAAGGTGCTCACTATTCAGCACAGTCAACAGATGCTGTCACTTGCCTAAATGATCCATGTTCGGCGAAGATCTCTAACTTACGACCATCAACAGACTATAAATTTTGGGTAATTTATTTTGGATTCTCTTCTTGAACGCTTCGAATGAAGTATCAATCAAAATATAGGTGAAAACATATTTGAATATTGCTCGAAAATGATCATGAAGTGTAACTCGTATTGATATGCGTCCTCGTCTTATTCCCTTAGTTGACACATTCCCTTGAAGGTACGAGCGATTCACGAGAGCCATTTGAATAGTCAATTTTCGGACGATACTGAGGGCTTATCGACGGAAACGACTGTTCGGACAAAAGATGTCTGCGGGACGTTAAGGCCAGACAATGTCACTGGGACTTCTGTTGTGCTCAGATGGAATTCACTCGAACCCGGAACTCCACCGACAAAGATCTCGATTCAGTACCGAATAGTAATGTTTCTGCTACATTCATTTGATCTTGCTGGAAGCTGTGAATTTACAAGCGATAACTAGCAGAAAACGGATTTGGGAGTCGTGTTTCCGACAAATCAGATTCGAAAAACTGTGGCTTGTAGGCGATTTTAATTGGGCATGTCTCGGTAATAGTTCTTTCAAGAGATTTTGCTAGTGAAATCTGATAATCAATTGGACTAAATGTTCATCTGATTCTGCAGAGTGGTGGAGACGCTTCATGGAAATCACCACATAATGCCACATTCAATTGGTCAGCAATGTCAACCGCAATAATAATCAGTGCTCTACGATCGGCCACTTCATACGATTATCGATTTTCTGCCGAATATTCCGGCTCGTATCATTACGGCAATCGTAATTATCCATTCAATGAAACCTATTATCAGTCCGCTCAACAAATCAAAACAAAGCGTTAGTTGCTTTCATTTGAGCAGAAAGTTGAGTGCAAACCGTTCGTCATTAACAACATTACTTCATTTAATTTTCATCCGTTCACGGATGACCATACAACCATCTGGTGTTATCAGATATGGTATCACGGATGATATCAAATATGATTTGCATCTTCTCATCAACCCGCCACTATCGCTACTCATGTGTTTTCGTCTTTAATTTACATTCTCATCACGACATAGAAAGATATTTTTGTATTATTTGTGATACTAATGATGCCAGAGCGAAACAAACTCATAATGAAT